AGTTTAAATCAGAGTTAAAGAATTATCTACATGCTCATTCCTTCTACTCTTTAGATGAATACTTCAATGTAAATAGAGAATGATGTAAAATTAAGTTATATTAATTTTTAAGCTAAAATTGCCTGTACTTATGTATGTAACCTTTTGACTTGTTCTGTATCCAAAGGTACTAACCTGCTTAGGATTTATAGAATGTAAATAAATTCAATTCAATTCAATTCAATATAAATATTTATACTTAATTTAGCACTGTGGTGAGTGCTTTCATTATTTTGCCTTAAAATGGAAGTTACTTGAGAGGTGGATAATATTTCTGTTAAGTTAACACATGGTTTGAAAAGATTGCAGAACAAATGTGAAATATTTTTGTTTGGAAAAACAAGTTGGAAGGCAGCTTATCTTGCTAAATTTTGCCTCATTGTGTGTACAGACCTGAGTGTTTTAGTTAGATTAATATTTTACTGGAAGGCAGTTTATCTTGCTAAATTTTGCCTCATTGTGTGTAGAGACCTGAGTGTTTTAGTTAGATAAATATTTTATCTACAGAATTTGAAAGTCTCAATTCTGTTTCCCCTAAGTATAACACAAACACATTGCTACTTACTGAGAGCAATCCAGCACTTTTACTCTCGCCCATCTGTTGATAAGCCACAAATTCATTTACTAATGTCTTGACGCCAACAAGTCGGGCTACCTCCTCACATTCCTCCCACTCAACGCCCATTATCCATACCAGTGGGATGAAAACTTTCCCAAGGATTAACTATAGTCAATCATAATATAAAATTAAACAGTAACCACTCCAGAACCAGAATTAGTGATGTAGATGTTTGCAGTTCTAATTATTATAGTTCATCATCTGTGATAGATCAGACCCTCTGGCCTTATCACATACAGAATTAATTCTGAATCAATGAATCCTTTGGACATTTAGCTGGACTCATCACACAGCAAGTACCTATATAGGAAAACAGAACACAAAGAACACAAACACATATCCATGCACTAGCAAGATTTACACTTGTGAACCAGAGAGCAGTCTAAGACTGAAGGCATTTTACATTGCATGGCCAGTGCTAGTGCCAAGGTCAAGAAAATGTGGATCTATACATCCACTCCCCCATATTCCATCATGACATAGTGCTTAATTAGTTAAGCACAGGGATAACTTTATCTCACCTTACCATTGGATCACCTTTAAATTTTTAATACAGAAGTAAATTGTAGATAGAAAAATCAGAGGTTCACTTAAAATAACTATTTTAAGAAAGTATAGCCATGAATTGGATATACAAATAAATATAAATATCAAATAGGAAAATTCTCTGAGATAAATACTTCTAAAACACATGGCTCAGTTAAACATAAAAATATGACCTCACATACACATAGAGACAAATGACAAATACTAATTGCAGACTGGAAGCAATTCTTTCCCTGTTATCGATGTGGAAATCACTCCAAGGTTTAGTCTGCTATTTCCTGAAACTGGGATGTAATTTCATATTACAAATGCAAAACTGTTTTCTGACTGCTAATGAGCATCTTCAGGATAGTATCTGAATTATGGGATCTTTGAAATAAAAAACATAAGAATTTATACTCCATGAAGTTGAAGATTCAATTAGAATTCATTTGTATTGATTGAAATATTGATTATAAATTCTTTATTCAAATAGAAAGACAGGCTAAATACTGTGCACTTGAGGAAGGGTCAAAATGTTCTGATGTGGTACAACATATAGTAGGTCACAAATCTGAACATCCTAGGGATTTTAAAGCAATTCCTTTTCCTCTTTACCCAATTAACCTTTTATGGTTATGCACGTAAATGTATTTGCAAATAAATGAAATGATCTGCACAAACTGTGTATGAGTATGTACATTCTTTGTGCATATAACCTTAGTTTTCCTTACTTTTAAAACTTCTGTGCTGCTACCTTTCGTTACCTGGTGAAGGTAATTTTTGAGACCGTTTTTTTCTGGTTATGACATACATAAAATAAAATGGGCCATCAATGAAAGACCAAAGAACACACAGAAATGTTATTACACAAACACAAGTAAAATTCTAAGCAATATGGAAGGGCTGATGAAGACAGTGATATTTATGTGTTAGGTGAAAATGACATACATCAAATTTGATATTTATTGATAATAGTCAAAATGTGAGAGAATCTCTCTCCCTGGAATATAATAAATGGCAAGAAAGTTGATTAAAAGCAATGATGGTGGATGACCACGCAACTGGTCACCATGAAGAATGAAGTTATTCATATCTCACAGTTCATGTGAAGTTTTAGCCTCTTGTGTGGACAGAAAAATGACCTGTTGCTCTGCATGGAGTGGACTTTTAAATATGAACTATGGATCTTCTGAACCACTATATTCTTGGAAATTAAAGGACAGGAACACAAGAAACTATCTACCAACAGTAAACAACTTCTACAAACTATTAATTAATTAATTTGCTTAGTGGGTGGGGGGCGGAGTCCAGCTGGGTCCACTCAGCATGGTGGCCACTTATTGGCCTATTGTACCTGCCGCGGGTTTCCACAAACTAGCTCAATAATACAGAAAGGCCACTTCCCTCTCATCTGTGAAAGATAAGCATAAACAAAATGCCACAGATAGTTGAAAACTGTAATTTGAAAGAAATAATATTTACGAAGGATAGGCCAATATTACCTGCCATAAGTTTCACATGACTCGTCTATGCCGATGATGTGAATCTACTGGGTGATATAATAGATACCATAAAGAAAAAGAACACAAACTTTAATTGATGCAAGTAAGAAGGTTAGTCTAGAAGTAAACACAGAGAAAACTAAGTATATGTTGCTGTCTCGTCACCAAAATGCAATGCAAAATCATGACATAATGATAGGAAACAGATGTTTTGAAAATATGTCACAGTTCAGATATTTGGGGATGACGATAACAAATCAAAACCTGACTGAGGATGAAATTAGGAGGAGATTGAACTCAGTCCATTCAGTCCAGAACCTTTGTCTTCTCATCTGCTGTCCAAAAACATAAAAATTAGAATATACAAAACTATAATTTTGCCTGTGGTTCTGTATGAATGTGAAACTTTGTCTCTGACATTAAGGGAGGAACATAGACTGAGGATGTTTGAGAACAGGGTGTCTGACCAAAGATTGATGAAGTGACAGAAGGTTGGAGAAAACTGCATAATGAGGAGCTTCATGACTTGTATTCTTCTCCAAGTATAATTAGAACAATCAAGTCAAGGAGGAAGAGGTGGGTAGGCCATATAGCACGAATGTGGAAGAAGGCATATAGGATATTGGTGGGAAAACCAGAAGGAAAGAGGCCACTGGAAAGACCATGGCATAAGTGGGTGGACTACATTAAAATAGATCTTAGAGAGACAGGATGGAATGGTATGTATTGGATTGATCTGGCTCAGGATAGGGACCAGTGGAGGGCTCTCATGAGCACGGTAATGAACCTTTGGGTTCCATAAAATGCTAGGAAATTCTTGAGTAGCTGTAGATTTGGCTTCTCCTCAAGAAGGGCTCAGCTCCATAAGTAAGTAAGTAAATAAGTAAGTTTCACATGACATACTCATACAATATGTAAAAACGGCATGGCTTTAGAGCACAGTAAAACTGGATTAACTTCTTTTACAGCTTCCATAATATAATATATCAAATCGACTTAATATTGTAGCTACAGTATTCAACCATAATAGACGTGGATTCCTCCACCATTATTCCAGGTTTAGCATTCTGTTCCTCATATGCACAGGAGGGTTAAATTCACTCCTAATAGTTTCAAAACTTACCTCTGAAGAGAGACCTTCAACCCCAACAAGCATGCCAAGCCAGGAGAGCACTCCATTAAGAAAGGCAATGAATGACACAAAGGCAATAAGGTTAGCAATAATTCCAAGTACCAACTGGATGCCTAGCATTGCTCCTTTTGTTGCAGCATCCAAAACACTGTTGTCATCACTGTAACACAGAAAACACAGAACAAGTAATGGGTGTGCTGAAGAGTGTAACAAATGTTGTCAGTAAGACACTTGGCATTATTGACAATATGACAATTAACAGCAAATCCTACATTACTCCTCCAGTTTTCTCATATCACTTCTTAAAAGGTCAAGAATTATTTTGAAGAGTTCTTTCTTTTGTGATATTACTCCATATATTCTAGTGAAAGTCAACTGATATTTTAGAGGAACATGTTCGCTCCATACTTAGGGCTGAAGGCCAAGCCAAGCAAGAAAACAGTCTGAAGCAAGCAACAAGCTAACCCTGATGATGGCGTCAACATGTTCCCTTGAAATGTAGCTGACTTTCAGCAGACTACACAACTTTATAATCTAGAATATCTAACTCTTCATAACCACTCAGGTGAAAAAATTAAATCCTGAAATAATTATAATGTTTCCTGTAATTCCACTATTCTACCAATTACTCTAGTAAGGAACTGTATTATTGAAATGTAATAACTTGATATCACTAAATACAAAAATAACAAAAAATGCAGTCAGGATACAAGCATAGCTTTTATCAGTGATATAAATGAACCAGTACTCATTCTTACTGTCAACAGTGTTTCTCTAGAAAGAAGAGTACCATGCGTGAAGTATCTGATAATAAATAAATATTTGAAATATAAAATATGATATATTCTTCTTAGAACTGTGAACAAAAAAATCAATTCAATAAAGTTTGATATAGTACTTGCAGGCACATTTTATAGAATTTCTATTTCCTCCCTTCAATTATGTATTTTATGGAAAATAAAGGAAATGAATGAATGAATGAATGAATGAATGAATGAAAGGTTCCAGTACAACATATCAAACTGCATGGAAAATAACTCTGCTTTCCATAATAGCCTCATCTTCATTCAGATAAATCTTAGTTTAACAGTTTTACATGAAATTATGCAAAAAGTATTAAAGAAAGTGACACTTCCAGTGCTATTCCAAAAATGTACACACCAGTCAGTGGCAAATCTCTCCACTGACTGAGCTGATATGGTTCTTTTTATAACCTTCAAGGTTGACAAATTGCTGCTAATTGCAGCTATCAAATCTGAATCTCACACCAAAATCAGAATTCTTTTATACCTAAGTTATTACAATAAATTTCACACCTATATCACCTATTACTTTAATTTTAATTTTAACAAAATTCTCCATTTATTCATTCATTTCATTTATTTATAGTTCCAAAAAAATCCATAGAGGCATCTGCCTCAGATATAGAACAAGTCAATAATACAATATAGCATATAAATATACATACATAATCAGATAGTCATCATCGTCAAAATTTAAATATTCAGTACAACAAAACTACTGTACAGCAATACATTCCATATATCAAAATAACATATAAAATTACATATACGATCAAAGACCACCAAGATCCTTAATATAGTAATATAAAATCTATTTTCTTAATATATAATACACCTGTATCATAACAGTAATAGCACCTTTTTCCTGAGTATTTATTCCATAGTCCATTGCATTCTAGCAATAGGCAACAGTGTTCATTTAAATATACATTTTATTCATACATTCATTCATTCATTTATTACAGTTAAAAAATCCACAAAGGGGTCTGCTTCAAAATATAGAAGAAGTCAGCAGCGCAATATAACACATAAATATACATGCATAATCAGATAGTCATCATCATCAAAATTTAAAATACAACACAACAAAACTACTGTACAACAATACATTTCATATATCAAAATAACATTTAAAATTACATACATGATTAAAAGACTGCCAAGCCTCTTAATATAGTAATATAAAATCTATTTTCTTAATATATGATACACCTATATTACAGCAGTGATAGCACCTTTTTCCTGAGTATTTTATTCCATCTGTGCATCTGTGCATAAATCTCCCGAATCTTCTCATGAAATTTCTGATCAAATTTTACAGACTTCTTGTCTCTCCATGCTTACTACATATTTTAACCATCATGACTTAGTCAACCTAATATTAAGAAGTGAGGCATTAAACCCTCAAATCTCCTTTCTGTTGAATTCTTTCACATCTGCTGTCCATTTTCTTGCATTTGTACACTTATCTGTCACTTTGTTTCCATTCACATGTTCTTCCATTTATATTATGGTCATCTGGGTTAAGACACTACATATTCTGGAAGGCAGCTACCAGTGTTTCAGAGGAACATGCAGTCTCTCCCCTTTATTCTGTAAGATGGAGGCATCATGTTTGGCTGAAACATTGATAAACACCTTCCATACTATGTGATAAAACCAAAATAACCACAATACAAATCTTCAGTGCCATAAAAACGTCAGACTTCAAGTATGTTCTTCCACAGACATGTGTGTGCATGCACATGCAGCACACACATACAAAAGCTTATATTTATATTATATTGTGACCTGTAACCTTACGTCTATCACCGCGACAACTGCTACAATCGGAACTGACACTTCCACGGCAACAAATAGGTGGAAATTGGGGAGTTCCCACAGTGACAAATCGTAGCAATGAATTGTTGCTGAGTAACAACGGATGAGATGAAACACGTTACCAGTGTATTCTATAAGAAGTGTTCCCATAACAACAGACTGTCTGAATAGCGGTAACAGAACCGTGAGGAATGGTGTCCAGTATCCAGTCCACATAACCCCTATATAAGTAGAGCTTATGACACATACAGATCATTGAGCATGGAGAACGAGACAATCTTTGGATAGCCGCTGCCAGAGGCAGTTGAGATCCAACCACAGCCAAGGATAGTTGAAACATCGCATTGGAGTATTGTGCCAGAAGTCAGGCGATACTGCAAGTGATAATAGCTGTAAGGTGTGTAAGTGTGAGTGTCCAATAAAGATTCTCTAAATCCGAGACCCACATCAAGTTGTCGTGTGACATACCCAACACATGACAATATTTATACGAGGGTCGTACTGAAAGTCATGAGCAACAATTTTTTGTAAAGTAACATGCTTTATTATTGACAAACCAAATACACCACCTCAATCTACAGATCTTTCTTTATTTTTCCACATAATCGGCACTTCTTTGTACACATTTCTCCCAGCATTCTGGGAGTTTGAAAATTCCCCTTCTGAAAAATTCCATTCCAGCCATCTGAAGACACTGACGCACTGCTTTCTGAATTGCCTCCCTTATCTCTAAACGTTGTCCACGCAGCTGATCCTTAACAAATCCAAAAAGATGGTAGTCAGAGGGTGCCAGATCAGGGCTATAGGAGGGGTGTGGAAGAACTTCCCACCCCATCTTTGCAATTGCTTCCAATGTGAGGCGAGCGGCATGGGGGCGAGCATTGTCTTGCAGGATGATGATGTTTCATCCCAGACGTTTATTGCGCAATGCGCGACAGAGCTTGTGTAGCGTCTGGACATAAAGAGAAGCATTGATGGTTTGCCCAGGTTCCAGGAATTCGGCCAGAATAAACCCCTCTGCATCCCAGAAGACTATGCCCATCACCTTCGCAGCTGATGGCACTGTCTTTGCCTTCTTTTTTGATGGAGAATGCAAGTGGTGCCATTCCATACTCTGCCATTTCATTTCAGGCTCAAAATGGTGAAACCAGCTATCGTCACCTGTTACAATACAGAGCAAGAAATCATCACCTTCGTGTCGATATCTCTGCAGCAGTTCTGAGGTGATGGCTTTTTGCTGACCTTTGTGGTCTTTGGTCAATAACCGCGGGACCCAACAAGCACAAACTTTCCTATATCCCAAGCTTTCAATCATCTCCTATACTTCACTGTGCCCTATTCCAAGTTTTCGGGCTATTGTGTCCACAGTCACACGCCTGTCATCTTGAATGATCTCATCCACTCTTTTCTTGTTGCGTTCAGTTGAGGCTGTTAGAGGACGACCGCTCCGAGGTTCATCTTCGATGCTGGTGTTCCCATCTTTAAAATGTTTCACCCATCTTCGAACGCTGCTCGCACCCATGCACACACTTCCATAAGTATGCTGAAGTCTCTGGCGAATTTCTGCAGCAGGGATTTCCTCTTTCACAAGATATTCAATGACAGCACACTGGTGAAATGACATATTGTTGTCAGCCATTTTGTTAGGAGTGATACTGGTCACATGATGCAAGCTATTGACATCACAAGACACTCAAGGTTAACACAACAGCTGGTTCCACCTACCACCATACTGTTTCATCTGCTGTTCCCACGTTGCGTGCAAAAAAAAAAGTTGCTCATGACTTTCAGTATGACCTACGTATTTATACTGCTATCTTGATTACAGGTAGACTGAATGAATTCTTGACAGAAAGTCTGTAAGTATGAGTACAGTAAACTTCTGGGTATCTGATATCCGAGCACCTGGATTTCTCATGCAAGCAGCAAAAATTTCTAAGAAAATGTACACAGTTTGTATAAAGTTACTCTGAAAACAAAATTGTCATTTGTGTAGGCTATTTGAATATATGATTGCATTATGGATCCAAATTCCTTCACACATGAATCCAGTATGTTGCCTAAGAAGATTATAATGCAAGAATTGAAAGGAAATCATGTTGTTTTGACTTTGTATTGGGTTTCTGCAAGAGTTTTTCTCATGCAACTACAGATGAATGTAACCAACACATCCCATTCCCATAATGGATAACTGGGGCTTCACTGTATAGCATGTTTATTACATGATATAATTCTACAGATGGGCTATTTTTGAATGAAGCTGCCTGTGAAGGTAAAGGCATTCTAATTCTGGATAAAAGGTATATTTTCTTTATAGGAGTACTTACTTCTTGAACATTTATTCCTTAAATCATCTCTAAACTAGGAAAAATACAAATCTATTAGAAACACAGACCTTTGTGTTCAGAATATCTTTAACGATGGGTAATAAAACCAGAAGGAAACTTCTTCTGACACTTTTACTCGTTAAACCGATTTGTGAAATATGGTAGTAACTACTATAAAAACATGTAAACAAGAGAAGATATTTCAGCTTTGTTGGAAACCCAGCAGGGAAAGGGTTAATGTTACAGTGAGTTGTAAATTGCATCTGATTCTAGTCTGTATGTCAAAAGACATTCTTAGTAATAACTTTTAAGTACCTAGATTCCTGTATGGTTGTTGACATGATATCAATTAACTAACTCCATGGATCAGAGGCCTTGGGAAGCATAGCCACTCAGCTGGTCAAGAAACCATCCACCTTTCATGATACCTGAAATTTCATTACTATGTTCACAACAGCCTACCACTGATTGATACCCGGAACAAGACAAATCCAGTCCTCATCCCCACATTCTTTTTCCTTAAGGTCCATTTAAGTATTATCCTCCCAGGTAATCTCTACCTTGTTATGTTTTATGGACAAAATATCTACTAAGCATTTATTGCATCCATGTGCACTGTATCACCCATTCATCCCAGTCACCTTGATTTGACCACTCTAATAATCTTAGGTGAAGATTACAAACTATGATTCCTTGATAAAATATGGACTTACGCTTTCTCTATAACAATGTTTTCTGCTGTTGTTTTACTTTGCTCTGTTTCTGGATAGAAAAGCTTTGACACACATAAAGCAGCAGGAGCAGACATGATGGAAGCTGTCAGGAGATGCACTGGTTGCACACCAAAACTGATGTATGCTGCCATTACACTACCTGAAATGTGTGTAATGGTGAATGGTTACATAAATACAACTATAATCATTAAGTTTCCAATTGCAATATGACTATATGGTGAATATTATTTGTTACATCAAGAAGTGTATATTTTGATATGGTTCTTATGGAGACAAAATGAAATTTAGTTATGTTTCTAAAAGGAAAACATTTATTATCTACTAAGACTACCTTCTTGACAAACAGATGTCTTCTTAAAATGAGATCAATATCAACAAGAGTAGAAACTGTTATTACGTTTTGGTATATATATATATTTTTTTTTCAACTTTACTCTTCACAGTATTTTGCATATCTCCCTAGGCTTTGTCCTTGTTTGATAGAGATAAAAGAAGTTTTCAAATACAAGTTGCAAATCTTAATGAGATTCATATTTTATGTCCTTTACTAATCTTTCTAGAAGCTAGAATAGGTCAATCAGTACAGTGACAGGCTAAGGGCTGGATGGTGCGTGTTCGATTCCTGGAAGTGGTAAGAGATTTTTCTCTTCTCCACAGTATCCAGATCGGCTTTGGGGTCTACCCAGCCTCCTCTCCAGTGGGTACCAGTGTTTTCCCCTAGAGGTTAAGTAGATGGGATGTAAAGCTGAGAACTCACATACATGTAGTTCCAAGGCAAAGAATTAGGGAGCTATATCTCTACTCTCCCGTTCACTTTAATGACATGGTGCTTAATTAATTCAGCACAGGGACAACTTTACTTTACTTTACTTACTTTTTTATGTAATGAATTACTTTCAAGAAGAATTACTCTCCAGATTTGAATCAGAAGCACTGTCACTCAAATGTAGCATTCAGAAATATGTACTGTTGATGGTTTTCAAATAATGAAGTTCCATCTGCATCAGTGAACATCACAACTAATGAGAACTGCAGATTGTTAAAAAATACATTTGGAAAACACATGTAGTCCTAGATTCTAAAGGGTTCTGACAATGGTGTATATCACTCAGATTTACTGGGTTTTTCTTTTGTGGTCTTTTTCCATCTCCCAGTATTCTAGAAAACAGAAAATATGATGCATCAGAAACTGGATCTGTTTCCACCCTCAGGTCAAGGACCCAACTGAATATATGTATTCCCCCCCACTCATCTGAAGACAGAAACAGATCCAGTTTCTGAAACGTCATGTTTTCTGAAGAAAGCAGTCTTCTGGGTTAACATCACATATACACGGTGCCAAATCCCAGAAGACTGCTTTCTTCATAGTCACCGCCGTGAAAGCCTCAAATCTTACGTCATGTTTTCTGTTTCCTAGAATACTAAATGATGGATAAAGTCCAAAAACCCAGTAATTCTGACATGTAGTCCTATTACAGTAAATTTTCCACTCCTGTTTGCATATAACTAAGGGCACAAGATATGCATGTTGGGTCTGAGGTTCTCACAGCAGCATTTATGAAGAGTAGAATAAGTCCAAAACTTAGATGGTTCATTCATTCTGAATGTTCCTGTATCAGCTGAAAAACATGTAAGTCCAAAAATGTTTAGATACTATACATTTTTTACATACGATACATATATGTTCATTCTAATGGATAGTTAAAGCTAAAAAATGTGTACAATAAAATGTATCATAACATAACCATATTCTAGCATATAAACCATAGAAGTCGAAGTACCTAACTGTTTAAATAATAATAAAAGAATGCTCTTGTATCCATGTATATATGGATATGTGTAATTTCAACCTCATACAGCTGTGTAGCCTGACAGAATTTTGCTGACATTTCAGCAGAATGTACTGCCCCCATCTTCAGTGTCAAAAGAGTAAGCCAGGCAAGAAAACATGATGAAGCAAGTGGCAAACCCAGTGAATTGCATACAGAAAACCAGGATTCAATATAGACCAGAAGGGAACTCAGAAAGAATGAATCAGAACAGACCCGTGATCTGTAAGTTGCTCAGAGAAGACCAATAAGAGCCAAAATAAAAGTAATACAGTACCCCATAGAAGGGACATTTTGTTACTGTAACAACCAGGAACAAGTGGAGGAAAGTTGCAAATGCATGTTACAAGCAAGCATCAGGGGATAACAAGGAACAAGAGGCAGCAGAAGACAAACTAAAATGAGGGAGGAAGAAGTTGCCGTGGAAAGAGCATTCAAGACAAGTTCAACAGAGGTGTACCCTGAAAAGGGCAGAGACCATGCCTTGAAAAGGACAGTGTGAAGAGGCCTAACAGCCTGAAGGAGAACCAAATATGTGAATCCTTCAAGGGAGGCCTTCTGTTCTTTCAGCTAGTAGACGAGAGGTGTCCATGATTTAGGTAGACAGAAGCCATCTTTCCTGTTCATGTTACTGTGATGGAACTCAAGCTCAATTGGCTCCCTGATGATAAGTCCTTGCATCTGGATTCGGCAGATAGGATACTGAGGTCTTGGAGCTAGATGTGGTGTCCAAAGTTGATGCTGTGCCCTTCCATGGCTGAACTGTCCAGAGAGTCAAGATATGGATATGCTAGTGGGGCTTCTTAAGCCTGATATTAAATGAGTGTTTGTCTGCCCTGTGAAGACCTAATGATAATCAAATGGGATACTGCACATTCTAGGTGTCTTCAGTCCTAGGACATTCTTGACCAGCCAAAGAAAGCTGGTGATTTTCATTGATGGGAGGCTGAGCGTCTTGAAGGTGTACTTGGATAGCACCTTGCTAATGTAGCTGAAGGCTGTCAAAACATATAGCAGGAAAGCAACTAACTCAGGATCAACACTGGGCAGAGCAAACTTCACAGGATTTACAGCCCCAAAAATCTGCTGACTGATGTAGCTATCTTGACTGAATGTGAACTTGAGTAACTCCAGACCAGACTACATGGTGTTACATCCAAGAAGATTATGCATGTTGACACAATATGCCAACATAGTCTGTTCCCTTTGGATCTTTCTTATATTCTGGCTGATGAAACACTTCTCAGCTCTGATAGCAAACTAATTAATTTCATGATATAGCTTGGTATGTTTCTTATTATCTTACCAGCAACAGTAGCAAAGCCTTCTGTCATGATGGCATGTATCTCTGACTTTGTAAGATCCTTAATGAATGGCTTGAACAGTAATGCTGACTCTGTCTGGAACCAACAAGCCACAGGAATATTGGCTGGTACTTAATAATGCATTCTCTGCACTCTGCAGAGTGCACATAATTATATTATGCAATATTATTAAAATATTAAAATATATATACATGTTGTTGTCATGTTACTATATGTTTCGGCATTAAAAGGCCATCTTCAGGCAACACATTTTTAAGGATTCTAATTCACGTTATGCTAATCACATAGTATTCTTAAGATATTTCACTGCTTTTCCTTCATATCTTTTTGATCTTTTTGAACTGCTGCTGTTTCTATGTCATATTAGGTGTATTGTTTTTTGTTGTATCAAGCATTACCTTGCATATGACGGAAATAGAAAACGACAATAAAAGATAAATTAATGCAACAGGAAGCTGAAATATAATATTAAAAATGTAACGGGAAAGATGGATTTCATGTCCAAAATTATTTCATAGATTCTGATGAAATTTGATCTGTGGAAGTCAACTAAAGACTATTGAAAAATGTCGGTATTCAGTTCAATATAACCACTACTTTACATGAAGCTCAAATCAATCATTATAAAAAGTACCATCTTCTGCACATAGTAGTATGCAATCTGCATCTTCAAAGGCGAAGAATAAGTTCAGCAGGCAGTAAGGAGAGTAAGCTGGGCGTGACAAAAGATGTGGTACAAATGTAGGACAAGGTAGGAGTGCTGAACAAACCACTTTCTTTAATAATGAGGTTAATCTGTTTTATACTTGCTTGATTGGCTTATTTTTCAACCCTGAAGATGGAAGCAGTATGTTCCCCAGAATGTCAGTGGATTTGTACCAGGGTATCTGGGGTCAAATTCCAGAAGATTATACTATGCAGTCACCACTGTGAAAATCTCAATCATCAGAATTTTCCACACAACTGGCTCAGTGTACAAAAATTGGTACCTGCTCAGTGGATACCAGTTTACATATAGGATGAAGTCTTCTCAGAAACATATGCATTTACATAGTTATGTTATTAATACAGGAAGGAAGAAAGATAGCTAACCATAATAATACAAAAATAATAATACAGAAATAGCAACTTTGATTTATATATGAAGCAGTTAATAGATGGCATGGTCATTGGATTAGTGTGTTCATAAAGTAACACTTAGATCTGATTCAAGGTATTAGAGTAACAGTATGTAACATAAAGCATAGGTCCACTAACAGCGATATTTCTTATTTAGAAATTTTCTTGACATAGCACATATTTAATAAAATACAAAAACAATTTTTGATTATGCAGTGTAGTACATGTAATGTGAGTAGCTTTGTCACAGTATATTTGTATGAGTATCTGTTACAAACTAACTGAAATTGGAAGGTGCTATGGCATAGAAATGAATGTGGGAAAAACAAAAGTAATGAAAATCTCGAGACAACCAACCGCAGTCACAATAAGGATAGACCAAAAACAACTGGAAAATGTGAAATGTTTTAAATATTTGGATAGCTTGTTAACAGATGATGGAAGGTGTACTAATGAAATTAAATCCAGGATTGCCATGGCAAAAGCTGCATTTAGCAAGAAGAAGAATCTTTTTACCAGCNGATTGGTCATGTTTTACGCAGAAACTGCCTTCTAAAAGAAGTTATCGAAGGAAAGATAGAGGGGCGGATAGAAGTGACAAGAAGACGAGGAAGAAGACGTAAGAAGATGCTGGATGACCTTGGGGACAGAAGAGGATACTGTTATTTGAAGGAGAAAGCTCTAGATCACATTAAGTAGAGGAATTGTTTTGGAAGAGACTGTGGACCATCGTCTTGACAGATTACTGATGATGATCATCTGTTACAATACATTTGAAAATGATATATACTCCAAAGTGAAAAATGGAATACTTTCTACTATTTCATGAACTTTTCTATAAACTTACTCAGTGATACCTGTAACAGGGAGTGAAAAATTACTGGCAGATGGGAACTCCATCCCACCATAAGCACTATAGGGTACACCTTCTGTGCTAACCCCAAGCCCCATAGATATATTGTTCAATTATGAAGACACTAGGAGTCAGGAGAGCTCAATCGGTATATGACTAGCTACAGGCTGGATGGCTGGGGTTCAATTCCTGGCAGGGCAAAAAATGTTTCCCTAGTCCACTGTCTAGTCTGCTGGATATAATTTATTTACATTTTCTGGTCCAAATTATCAGCTCACCAACCTTATAAGATTTCACCTTTAAATCAGGAGGGCAGAATAATAGAATAAGGATAATAGAATAATACTCTAAATACAGATATTTAAAAACACTGTTACTACTAGCCTCACTTATCAAAATAATACTTAAATATTTGTATCTGATAAATTACCATGCTGAGAAAAATGCTAGCAGGTGCATTGACAGATTCACATACAGTTGTTCCCATCGACTTCTGCAGTAGCCAGCCTAGTTTCAACAGAACCCACTGCATAGCACCATAGTAGTACAGTATCTGCACGAAGAAACTCAGGAAGAAGATGACTGAAAGCGACTACAAACCATATTAATATTTTAAATGTGTACAAAAATATTAAGAGAAGAACTGTGAAATTAATAACATTAAAATTCTACCACTGTATTCATAAGTTCTGACAGACAGGTGTTGCATATGAAACAACTGGTACACACTGTTTTGCACAGTGCTTTAGTCTGTTATTAATGAACGTGTGTGTGTATATTCATAAATGAGTTATTAAGTATCATGCTAATCCATTTCTATAACAATGAATATAACTGGTAAGATTACTAGAGAATGAACTATGAAATATATAACTCATAAATAATATATAAATAATACTTTAGTTTACTATATTCCTTGTAATGATATCTTTTGATGGAAGCTTTAATAACAATAAATGAAAGTAAATTCAGTGTTTCTCTCCTGACGGAACAGTGTCCCATCATGTAAAAGAACATTCTTCATAAAAAAGAAGAAAAACTAAAACAAATTCATTGTGGTAATTGTGGTAATAACAAACTTTTTTTATTTTATGTTCCTAATTTTCACTAATTTTATGAAAAACTTTTGAAGGTTCTTACCTCCCCTTTGTGAATTCTTAGAATGTACTATACTTCAGAACTGTTAAAGAAAAGATGTATAAAGGTAAAATGAACATAAAATGGGTCTAAAAATTCTAACAGTGTCATTATCATCATAATCATCAGTTTTTTCAATGACATTTCCTTTTTGAAAACTTCTGAAATACCATTATACTGAATTGTGAATAGCAACAGCACATATACAAGCAGTATGCTTGTGTCATGTTTCACATTCAGCACAGATTGCACTTATGAATATCCTGAAACACAGATGTATGTATGTATGTATGTATGTATGTATGTATGTATGTATGTATGAGGCAGGCATGACAAGTAGTATATATACAGGGTAAGGTAAATAATAATACGAAAATTTGGTTGGAGAACCTCAAGGAAAGAGATCACTTTGAAGACTGTGGTATAGATGGGAGAATATTATTACTGGAGTTTAAAGAGACTGGTAGATAAGATATTGTGACATGTCTAACCGTTGCTGGACAACGGGAGGTGGATCGAGTTACCATGAAGACAGACTCTGGATAAACGGTCAGCTGCTGGGTTGCACTGCCATGAGTTGTTTATTGCTGCATAGCAACCAGCACACATCGGCTCGGCACGGCACAGAGGAACATCGCTTTCCTTACTGTTGAATAACCTTGATTCCACTGTTGCGCAACCCGGCAACTGACCGTTTATCCAGAGTCTGTCTTTGTAGTAACTCATTCCACCTCCCATTGCCCAGCAACGGTTAGACATGTCACAATATGTTTGAGTGAAAAGGTTAAATTGCCCTTGTGCCTAGCTCCATGCTTCAGAGGTATATAGGGAATACTGCAATACTGCTGAAAGCATTTGAGCCTTAACACCAGATGTAGGTAGGTGATGTGCTTCATTCTGCACCCAATTCACCCCTGGGGAAAAAAGCACTCAGTACCCATTAGTAGAGGAGGCAGGGTGGGCCCAATTTGGATATGGAGTGGAAAAGACATAACTGTCAATGCCAAGAACTGAAATCTGGTCGTCCAGTCAACAGTCTCTTGAATTGCTGCAACTGAACTACTTAGGACCCAATATTCAAGCTGGAAGCTGTATGTAAAATTCAGCTGCATGATTGCAATTTTTGTCTCAGAAGCTGGGGGTTTGTAGATTTTAAAATTTGCGCAAACACGCATGCACGCACACACACACAGAACCACAATCTTTCTCACACACACACACACACACACACACACAAGCACAAAAATATAAATTTATGGGATAATGCCTACTCTCCAATAAGATAACTGTCTTCTATATACATACCTTGAATGCAAAATATCCATTGTCAATGAGCAGATCACCATATACAAATGTAGATCCTGCATCACTGTAGGCAAGAAATGTAGCAATTTTGTTGCCAATGCACTGAAAGATGCTTCGACCAACAGACCAACGAATGGAGATCAAGCCAAGTACAAACTGGATACACAAGCCCCAAATAACTGGCCGCCATCGAATCTGAGGCATATTTTCTTTCTTACTACATGCTGCACTTTCAAAACACAGTAATGCAATTATCTTTACATGAATCCTGTGGCCTGTTTTCCTTTACTTGTTTCATTTTTTAATGGCTTTTTTCAGTTAATAAAATATCCTCAGGCTCTCAGCCATATCAGTTGGTTTAAAATGACGAATATTTCAGGACCATTCCTGTCCCCGTCATCAGGATGTGATGTTTCAAATTATCATCAACTTTATTAACGAGAGCTAGAGTATATCACCATCAAAATTTTCAGGAGTTCCATTTTTACAATTATGATTACAAATAACTTCTAACATTTATGCAGAAATGTGTATTATATTTGAACCAGCAATAAACTTTTGGCTATTGAATGATGAGAACCTACCTGTCCAGGATGCCGAGAAAATGCAAATCCTACTACCATAATCACAACCACACCAATACACGATTTCAGTCTCTCAGTGTTGTCAAGTGTATCCAAAATGAGGTACACTATTATTGCTCCCAACGGCAATAAATATGATGCTGTTTTCAAATACCTGTAACAGAAAGACAAGGTATTTTGATTTCATTGATATTTTTAAATCTGCAGCCTTCTGGGTTGTTAAAGTGTAGACTTGTACATGAACACTGATATTTCAGAGGAATATGTTGCATCTGTCTTCAGGGCAGAAGTGTGTGCATTCAGGAATTAGCTCAGTTATTTATGCAGGTTACAAAAAAAGGTGACCATGACACCCGAAGAGAGAGGACAAAGCAGACGAGAATGATCCAGCACAATGGGGGGGGGAATGGGCACATGTTCCATGATGTTACACATCAAGGAGTCATTTGTACTGTTACACACATTTCAAGGCTGTGTGTATGCCATAATTTTTATTTAATTCAGCCAAAAGACAAATTATATTTTCATTGCTACTTTTATATAAAACTTGCTTCATTAGTCCTCTAGTTGTTTGTAACAAGATATTTTTCACATTCTTTAGACCTTCAAGTGGTTTGAGAAACTCATCTCATGAAGGTGAGAATTAAAACAAGTTCCATTCATGGGATTTCTGTTGAACTTCATCAAAAACTATGAAGTATCAAGTATCAAAATCTTTGTAAAAGAAAAGGGAATTTATATTTTAATTGCTTGCATTGCTTTTATAACAACCCCCCCCCCTCAAAAAGAGCATGTGAAATGCAAGATTTTGACAATTTTAGCGACCATGGGAACCCATCAAATGTTTTACAAATATTTAAAGCATTAACAACAAGAATAAAGTAAGATGTTTAATTTTGGAAGAAGAGCTGAATATTTAACAAATGTTCTTCTTGTTAATTTGGTCTCACTTGAGCCTCGGTCTTCTCAACTGGCAAGTTTTCTTGGATGGAGTATCATACCAACACAAGATCTCCAGCAACACAGGGCAATACAGAATAACATGGACATTCATGTCACATTTGGGATTCAAACCCATGACCCCAGTTCTCAGAAAATTCAAGACATCATATGACTGCATGCCTATTTGGATTATTTTCAAGATTATATAGAAAAAAGTACATTTAAAATGGAAACTTCTTTACCGATATGTCATTAGTCTGCTCCACCATTCATGGATTGGTATCAATATGTGCTTATATATCAACATGCCAAAGAATTTCTTAATGATGCTGTAATATATAAGTCCCAAATATGTAAGCACCATTAGTATGATTAGCAGCCCCACTCCATCACACCATTCTAAGTCACAATCTCCTGTAAAGGAAGAAAAATTAGTTCATTTTAGAGAGACTTTTAACATGACTAAATATATTTCATACTTTATTCTCAAGACTAGTAGATACGTCAAAATACAAACCACATTTTGAAACTCACATATCTAGTGCCAAGGTAAATAAATAAATAACCAAACAAATAAATAAATAAAAATATATAAAATAATTAAATAAATAAACAAACAAACAAATAGGTAAATAGATAGACACATAAATAAATAAATAAATATACAGGGAGGATTTTTAGTGTGTGTATGGGGTCTATGGCTCTGCGCTTCAAGGCAGCCAGTCTGTCACTTGTCCTGAGGCGCATATGAGTTTTGGCGATGAATCAGCATGCCTGATGGCCGATATTGTTCTGAATGAAGTAGTTACAATTCACAGATCACAAGACATGTTGCAAATTCTGTCCTCTCTACATGTATATATTTTTCAGAATTAACTGTTTCATTAAAAACACAGGTACAACAATCCTTGCTCTTATAACACACTAGACAAACTTTCACTGGATGGCCTCAGCAGTTGTGTTGCCATTCTAGAACGAGATTTTGGCACTCCAGTCTCTTGAGCTAGATGATTCAATGATTTTCTAGGTGTATGTTCAAGTCTGGCCCCTATGGCATCTAACTTCTCAATAAGTGCTTGACACGTTTTTGTTTCTTGTCTATTAAGAGCCCAGTTGTTCTAAGTTTATTCAACAAACTGTGAATTGTTTGTCTGCTGGGAACTCTTTCATCAAGAAATTTACACCAAAAGTTTTCACCGACACTTTCTAGCAGATCCACATTTCACATGGGTAGCATACAGAAATATGTTGCTCTAAAGTGTACCGCACCATGACGTACCACACTTTGCACTAACTGTAGCTAAGAACAAATAGCTAATGGAGCTGATTACTGCTGCCTACTGCTGAGAAATCATAAACAAACTCCCACACTGCTCATCACATAACATAATACTGTCAAGCGGTCCACAAGTTAATTACTTCCCTTTATTTCAAACGCTATCAGCCATCAGGCATGCTGATTCATCAACAAAATTTGTATGTGCCTCGCCATGGACCTGGTCCACACACTAAAAGTCCTCCCTATATGTGTATTCACAGCCTTTCTCTTTGTTCTGTGCTTCAATAAATCTAATATTTTAAACTTCAGATATTTTCTTAAGAAATACAAAGTATTCATTATTAAAAAATAGTTTATATTAAAGTGTTGCTTATGGGTAACTTTACATTAAGATCTTCAGAAGCAGACATAGTAAATTTTGTAAAACAGTTACATCAATTTAAGAAAGATATTTCCAACCTCCTTCAGTATAAATAAAACTAAAAAAATTATATTCCCAAGAAATAGTACATTAATTGCTGATGTCTGCTGTATGTAGTGATTAGTGCCTGGTCTCACTGAAGTATTGGAAAAATTTCTCTAAAATATTTCTGTAGAGTGAATGACAGACATAGGAACATAAATACTCGACATCTTTAAAACATGAAGTTCCCCAAATAACTCTATCCAGAGCAAGTTCAATGCAATCCATATATTCATTTATTAAACCCACAGCCTCATCTGAGTATTCCTAATAGTTACTTTACAAGAAATTTCCCTACCAAAATTCAGTATGCATTTGTCATTCTCAGATACAAGTTGCATCTTCAGACCATTCATATCTCTTGTGATCCAGGATCCATAATAATACTACGAGAACAGTAAGAATTGGAAAGTTCACCACTATTTAATTTATTCATTCACCATTTATTTGTCTTCACACAGGTCAAAGTACCTTTTGTTCCTTTTCAAACATTTTCAGTTCACATTTTTTCTTCATGGAGTAAAGCCACAACATTTTTTATACATACATCCACAGGACATCATTAGATGCTTCTAAAAAATGCTTCTGTATCAAAACTTTATATGTATTTCTTATTTCATGCATATGAGCTTCATGTTCAGTTCATCACAACTTTCTAGGTTTGACTAAACTAAATTAAAAAGCTAGTCATTATGTAATTTTCTTCACTTTCCATCTATCTTATAGCTTTCTTATGTCCAAATATTTTCCTCAGCATTTTGTTTTTGGATACACATTCTCTGCAACCATGTTTCACATCACATGAAACTGTATTTTACACATCTGTGCACATGAAGTCTGGCAATTAAATGAATGGCAGCAATTGATGCACTGGTGAGTCTGCATAGGATGGATCATGCCCCTACATGACTCAGCAGTATTGTGTCTCTTAGATTCATTTTATTTTGTGGTTCCAGCAAGAGTTTTATTGGTGTGATGATTTGCTTTTCAAAAATTAGAAGGAAATGAATTTTCTAAGAACTTTCGGAAAGATTGTTAGATGAACTCCATCTTTTTTAAAGAAGTTGACAGCGATGAATCTAGTGTCTTTCAGTATGAGCTAGAAACAAAACATCAAATTCTCCAATGGAAAAGTCTTGAGTCTCCAGAAATCATGAAAGTGCAGATGTCAAAATCATGCTGTTCAGTCATTTTGATATTATTATGAATTTCTTCCTCCAAGTATATAAATGTGTATGATGGTATGTACATCAGTAAAGATCAGATTTGTTGCTGTAGGAGTGGCTGTTGCATAATGGAAATTAATATTTCCACACAGCATTTTTGGCAATAAAACTTCTAGCTCCTTCTAAAGACAGACCAATGATGGATCATCCACATACTTACCTACTTCTTATTTGTCTCTCTCTTCTAGGCTTCTAAAACTAAAAATTCCCTTGAAAGGATTTCATTCTAAACCTCTTGAAAACATTGAGACCTATCTGATAACAGTACTGAAAAGGGCTTTCTTGAAATGATTTCTAACAGTGTTTCCAGACATGGCAAAGACAGAAGGAAAGTACTTTGAAGGCGACCATAGTCACTAAAGATTATTGACACACACAGCACACAGCACACAAGCCAAACACCCCACACCACTCACACAAATACATACATTTTTATATCAGTTTAGTTATTTTACAGACCCCATAAGAGACATTCGAGTTTAATTTGGCAAGATCTGCAGTTTTATCATCAATCATTATATATGAATAATATGTATTTTTTGGCACATAATATTAATATTCTGGATACTGTTACCAGATGATTCTAAACATATTTGAAAACTGAGAATTCGCTATGCAAATACTTATGTTTATTCAAATGCATATTATTTTTTATCATATTATAATTATCTTACCTTGAGTATTATAAAACATTATAGCAGTTATTAGATAACCTAATACACATGCATTGAGAATCACAATGAAAATTCTTCGTACTACATGTGAATGCCTTGAATAACATTTGCTCCATTTACTCCAGAACTCTGCATCTCTGGTTTTCTCGACACTTTCTTCATCATAGCCTGTTCGTCTACAATTTTTTGCTAAATTCATAGGTTCCTGTGGATCATAAAATTATAAAAAATTTGAAACTAAATCAGATTTGAGGCATAAAAAGCAGCAAACATGTAGATTGTGGTCTTATAGGTTATGAGAGCATATAGTATGTCCTGAAGACATACACAGCAAGCTCCTTTAAAATGTTGGTAATCATCTTTGGGACTATATGCATCATAAGCCAGAATAGGAATACCCAATTAGTGCTATATGGGTAACATGTGACAAGAAAGCTTGCTTGGTACCTTGTGAGAATATACCCAAATACTGTGAATATTTTCTCCCTACCTAAAATAGTTACAGGAAAACCAGGTGAGACTAAAATTAAATTGGATACATCAGCTACTGGTCTATGCTGATGATGTGAATCTACTGGGAGATAACACAGATACCGTAAAGAAAAATACAGAAACTCTGATGCCTGTAAGGAGTTTGGTCTCGAAGTAAACCAAAGAAATCAAATTATATGTGATGTCTCATCATCAGAACACAGGAAAAGATCATAACATAAAGATAGCTAATAAAACTTTTGGAAATAAAGCACAGTTCAAATATTTGTGAACGACAGCACCAAATAAATATTAAGTTCAAGAGCAAATTAAGAGGAGACTGAATTCAGTTAATGCTTGCTACAATTAAGTCAAGAACATTCTGTCAACTCATCTGCTGTCTAAAAAATGTAAAAATTAGAATATACAGAACCATAATTTTGCGTGTGATTCTGTATGAATGTGAATCTTTGTCTCTAACATTAAAGGAGGAACACATCCTGAAGATTTTGGGAAGAGCGTGCTGAGAAGAATACTTGCACAGAAGAGGAATGAAGTGATAGGAGGCTAGAGGCAACTGCATAATGAGGAGCTTCATAACATGTATTCTTTGATGAGTATAATTAGGATGACCAAATCAAAGAGGGTGAGATGGGCAGGGAATGTAGCATGAATGGGAGCAAAGAGGAATGCATATAGGATATTGGTGGGAAAGCCAGAAGGAAAGAGACTACTTAGAAGACCTAGACCTACGTGAAAGAATAATTTTAAAATCGATCTTCGAGTGACAGGATGGAGCAGAATGGACTGGATTGAACTGGGTCAGGATAGGGACCAATGGAGGGCTCCTGCGAACATGGTAATACACCCTCAGGTTCCATATAATATTTGAAAATTCTACAGTAGCTGAGGGACTGGTGGCATCTCTAGAAAGGCTCAGCTCCATGAAGTTAGTTAGTTCTAAAAAACAGCAGCGAATCTCTTTAAAAAATTACAAAACATACCAAATATTTTGTATTATTCTCCAACTGATTTTACAAACCACTTAACAAATAAGAATTGCTGAAACTGGTGAAGGCTTCTTAAAACTATACCCAAAAACCCTACCCAGAGTACAAATCCTGGCTTAAGAAGTGTTCCATATTTGGATGTACCTTCTAACGTGACAGAGCTTTATCAACCAGGAATAACTAAGTAAAATTTTGATAATGTTGTTCATTAACAGATAGCATTCTTTCTCATTTAACTTGTTACTTGTGTTCATTTTTGGAGCATTTTCAACGAAAACCTTAAAAGGTATTTGCCTGTTAGCTTCATCATTCTATATGCCCATCTGTCCACATGTAATAACTTGAGAACCACTAAACAGATTTTCATAAAATATAGTACTGAGGAGTTTTACTAGAAACTTTCAGCAGATTCCAATCTTCGTTAAAATTGGGCAACAATAATAGACATTTTCAAAAGACTTACTTTATTTTTGTGCATTTCTTGGGCATATGTCACTTAATATTTATTTGAACAAAAGTTGTAGAAAAATCTTAACACATTTCATGGCTAATACAATTTTTCAGGAAATGTTACAATTATAGAGGTAATTAAACAAAAGCAAACCAATGCCCCAGAATTGTCATGCTATCTGGATATTTCCAACTTTCATTAGATTATTAAAGCCTTGTTTCCTCACTGTTGTCCAGTTCCTCACACAGCTAACAAGCTAAACTACAAAAACATTGTAAACAAAGCAAACCTCAAAACTGAACTGATATATTTATTTTATGGGATTTTTACTCTTCCAGATAGACCAATAGAGTATTTCACCTATCACAGATCCCTATAATAAAGATGTTAAACTGGCGTAACAACTATCCATGGGCTGGACGACTGAGGGGTTGGAGTTCAAGTCCCTGTAGGGTCAAGAATTTTCTGTTCTTCACATGTCCAGACCGGCTCTGGGGTCCACCCAACCTCCTATCCGATGGTTACTGGGGGCTCTTTCCCTGGGGGTAAAGAGGCAGAGGCGTGAACCTGACTACTCACCTCCAGCTATTGCTGAGGTCAAGAAAATATGGATCTATACATTCACTCCCCCATACACCTTCATGGTGTAGTGCTTAATTAGTTAAGCAAAGGGACAACTTTACCTTTCACCTGTACCTATATAATATGTAACTATGGGTTAGCATCATCACCCAGACGTTATTTCAAGTCTGTACTGTTTAGATCAAATTATTGCATGGACTTGATAATGAGGAACTTCATAATTTGTGCTCTTCACCAAATACCATTAGACATATCATATATGTGAGACAAACTCTGTCTTAAGTGCAACAATTTAATTGTAGTTCTTTCTTCTTCCCTTCCTCCACACTACATGTTGCGGCCCTAAATGGCCATCATCAGGTGTGTATTCTTATGTACCTGCTACACTGCTCGTAGTTTTAAAATTTAAAATCACCAGTCTTTCCAATTGTATGTATGTATGTATAAAATCTTTGTTAACCTACATGCATCAATTTGATTTCTAAAATTTCTAAAAAAATGTTTAAAATTTGGAAAAAGAAAAAGAACAGAACATTTGTAGACATTTTAATTTGAATTGAAGTTTTAAAATAGTGCCAATTTTAGAAATCAAACTGATGCGTGTGGGTTAACAAAGATTTTATACATACATACATACATACAATTGGAAAGACTGGTGATTTTAAATTTTAAAACTACGAGCAGTGTAGCAGCTACGTAAGAATACACACCTGATGATGGCCATTTAGGGCCGAAACATGTAGTGTGGAGGAAGGGAAGAAGAAAGAACTACAATTAAATTGTTGCACTTAAGACGGAGTTTGTCTCATATACAGAGTGATTCAGAAAGATGGACACAATTTCAATTGACTACATTTCCTGAACTGTATGTTGCATTTGAATTCTGTAAAGCACATTTGAAAGAGGATGTTACAAAGTTTCTAGTACTACCGCTAGTGCCTTCCATTACTGCATCCCGGGCCGATCGCGTGTATTGGAGGAGAACGTGGAGTGCATTCAAGTGAACTTTGAGCGCAGCCCAATGAAGTCAACCCGTAGTGCTAGTAGAGAACTTGGACTATCGCAAACAACTGTGTGGCGTGTACCACCTCTTCCCACAAATTTGAATGACCTAAGAAACTGTATCACAGCTGCGGTGAACTCAGTGACACAAGATATTTGTCATCGAGTGGATATTTGTCATCGAGTGTAGGATGAATTCAGCTACCGTCTAGATGTTATCCGTGCAGCCGGAGGAGGGGGCGGCACACTGAACATCTATAAACTTCCATGTATGTATAATCAAGTGTAATTTACAGAATTCAAATGTAACATATAATTCAGGAAATATAGCCAATTGAAATTGTGTCCATCTTTCTGAATCACCCTGTATATTGTGTGGATGTAACAGGATGCTTAAATATAATATTGTAGACATATCATATTAGTGACTATGAGATATAGAAGAATGTGGTACACAGAGATAAATCAGATATGCATGCAAGATTTCAGGTGGAAAACCTGAAAGGAAGAAACCATCTGGAAGACCTAGCCATAGATGCAAGGATATTTAAAATGGAGAGTTTTATCTTCTGGAATATAAGACCATGTAGTCTGTTGAATTCTTCATAACCACCACTGTGAGAACCTGAAATCCTACAATATTAAATTGAATCTTAAAGGAATTAGAATGCAAGAGTACAGGCTGGGTTCATCCATACCAAAGTAGGGTGAAGTTGTGAGCTCTTGTGAATACAGTAATGAACTTTCGAGTTTCATACATGGTGGGAAACTTATAGACCAACTCAGTGATCATCAGCTGGTTGAGGTGGACTTAGCTTCACTAGACAAATGCATGGTAATTCAAATGGCTAACAAGGGTCAAATTCCAGGCATTAGTCCTTACTATAAAATACTTCTGAGGTATGTGTAATCACCTGTAAAGATATATTCTGTTCAGAAATAATGTCGTGGTGGAAACTTTCTTGTTCCAGTTGTAAATTAGTTCCATGGTGAATATCTGACAGTACATCAGTTTGTTTTGTTAGTGTGTCTTCATCTGATACAATTTCAGGATATGATTCTCTGGGTGAAGCTTCCAGCAATTCCTTCAGAAAAAAAGTAATATTATATTAAACATAGGACTACTCTTCAGTATCAGCTAGTAAGTGCTTAGAAATATATATGGGAATAGTTAATTTGATGGTACAGATATAGTTTCAAAAGATCATTAGTGTATACTAACATCTAGTCCAGTATGCTTAGTAATTAGTAGTGAAAGAGTTCTAGGTTAAATCTTGATCACTGATTCAAAAACAAAATAGAAACAAATAGAACTTAAAATAAAATAGGGTGGAAGAGATTAACTTGAAAGCATCAACTTAAAAATGGAGCTTACAGGAAAACAGATTTTCAGAAAGAATGATGATGAGATATTAACAAATGCATGTCCTGCATAAAGTTCCACCACAGCTTAAAAATATACATACTGTATATAGTATATATATACAGTATAATATTAATGCAACTACAACCATTAAAGTCATAAAGGTGTCATGATTAAGTCTTCAGAGGTAATATTCTTCTGATGCAGCAATTGTGGTTAGACTTCCAGACTACTAATGATTGATCCATACATGTATAAAAGAAAGTATACATAAATTCACAGTATGTGATGGGTGGTGAAAATTATCCACAGAACATCAAGATGGCCTGAATAAATTTTCACCACCTGCATTTATCACATCACTGACTTAATGTACAATTCATAATTTATATTTTATTTACATATGTAAACTGTTACACAAGTAAATTGGACAAGTCAGTTTAAGCCATCTAAAGCACTACAAGTAAACAAATCTTAAAAATGTACAAAATGATACACAAGACTACGAACAATATAATCATCTTAGGATCACTGTCCCCTTGCTGAAGCTAGCAACCGAGGATGACATCCCCCAACAATCCAATAAAAAGCAACACATACACTTATATCATCTATATACAACCACACCACATCAGAACTAACCTGAGCCACCAACTACCATTCCTCATTGTTACTATAAAAACTCCTGCAGAGAATAAGAACAGTTTTGTAAGAAATAACTTTTTAATTTATTTTTTTAAAACTTTAAAATTTTCTATTCTTTTCATTCAGGGGGCAAGCTGTTATGTATTTTAATTCCCATATTAATTACACTTATTTTGCAATGAACAGTGTTGCATGTTTGTACACATAAATTCTGTTTTCCTTTACTGTTATACTTGTGAATGTCAGAATAATGAGTTGTGTAGATCTCATTCTTTTTTAAAAAGCATAAGATCACTCACAGACATGCATGCATGCACGCACGCACGCACGCACACACACACAAAGAAGTTACTGTTAAAATCTTAAATTCACCAAACAGACTTCTACATGACACCCTGTTTTTCACTCCTTTAATAAGCTT